ATTTAATTCTTTACTCTTTGTCAGAAAAAAAGAAATTTGGATATAAAAATATTTCGCAGTTGCGACTTGAGCCTGCTCTATGCCCCTAGTTGGGGGCGGCAAGGCAAGAGATATTGTAAAAAGAGTAAACTGCAGTATGGCAGTTGAAAATGTCAAGGTGTTCACAATCAGACCAATCTGTCTGAACTCCCTATAATTATATTTGTATATATCGTATAATTGTTCCATAACTAATACTACAAATCAAATTGCACTCTGTAACTATAGTTGTCATGGTTCTGACAGATGAAACTCTTCAAAAGAACTTGTTTACCTTAAAGAATCTTTTATTCGAGTAGCATAATATCGGCACTGCATAATCAAAGCCAAAAACTGAATTCCCCTCCCCTGGGCACATAGTATCAAAGCACAGTTCCCTCCTCCAATTAACAGTCATAAACCACATTCCTCAATTAGCTTGAAGCAGGGGCTTCCTCTCCAGTTCTCCAGCCCACCAATTCTTTATCAGCTCTGGGCTCAATAACCTTGATTCTCACGCTAAGTTTAGTGTTGTTAGGTCTAGCTAGACTCTCATTCACATTTCCCCCCCCCCCTCCCAGCATCATCTAACTCTAAAAGCGAAAGGGAAAAAGATGGGTCCATTTCCATCTGTTGTCAATGCAAAACATCCAAAGTTAGCAGCGTTGACAATAGTTTCATACAGAGGAGGAAGGATTAGAGCCAGATCTCTTATCAAGACAGTTTTGATTCTTCTGGCTAAGGGGCAGATCTTAGCTTGCTTTTGGTTTAGAACTGTTGGTGCAGCATCGTACTGTGGTGGGCATGTCTTCCTTTGTACACGGAGTTCCTCCATCAGCAGATGTCCCCTTTGCAATAGAGCAATCTTCTCTTCTTACAGGCCATGGATTCTGGCAGTTCTCCATCAGTCCCTCTCATGATCGGCTGTGCAGTCTCCTGTATGGCTTTGCTGACCTTGCTGGCAATCTATGCTGCATTTTGGAGGTATGGTGGTCTAAAAGTCATAGCTGGAAGAAGTAAGCTTGCAAAAAAGCTACCCATGGTTAATCTCAACAATAGGTGCAGATATAAAGCAGAGCCACATGGACAATCGCATTGAAGGGATGGGAATCGTTACTGTATAGTACACTGAACAAACAGACTATCAAACGTAGCCCTTTCTATACTCTGGTCTTTTTATTTTCACACTTGATGTTGAGAGTCTGCTAAGACATTTGGTGCCAAATCTGAAGACAGTGATTTGTTCTCCGACTTATTATTTTTTATCCGCTGGTCTTTCAAGACCTCTGTATTCAGCAGCAAGCATCAAGAAAAATAGAGCAAAATAAAACAGCGTGGTCTGTAACAGGCACAAATTGTTTGCAGCGATTTGAGCTAAGGGTTAAATTAAAATTCAATTTTCATTCCATCCACAAAGGATGGTATTTTTGTTCCTGACTCCCACTTCTGAAAGTGTGAATCTCTTCCACATTTGGGTTCGAGAAGGTTCAGGCAGATGTAACAATTACCAAAGATTAAAGAAGAGCTTGGGAACTACCCACAGAGGTCCTCTTAAAGCATTATCTGAGCACGGTGGGGGATGTTCTCCTCTGAATCCGTCCCACAGTTCCATCAAAGCTGGTGAAAGCTTTCCACCCTCAAAAACAAAACAGCTGCAGAACCACCACTCACCCACCCACAGAACCAACACCGTACATGATTGTGGTGTGGGAGGAGTGTTGCTAATTCCAAAATAAGAACCCTACAATTGTTGGGTGGCCTTCGATTTTCCAGGAATACCAGACAACGGATACATAAAATAATTTCCCCTCTACTGCAACTTTAGCCTTACAAAACCCATAGCCTGGGTACTCCCTTAGTAGCGACTTATTCAGCTATCGTTTGAACTTACGATAGAACGGAATGAGGAGTGCTTACAGTCCTCATAGTTGTGACTGTCACGTCATCTCCAGAGTGATATGGTTGTGATATGGGCACTTGGTGGCTTGTGCACCCGCCAATTATTTGCAACCTTGAGTGCCAGCTTCTGACAAGTAGCGTCAGTGGAGGAGCTGAGATCACAAAGGGTGACCCTGTGATATTGCACTTAACAGGTGGTCATTCACTTTTTTACTCAAATTGGTCATTCGCTTTTTTACTCAATTCAAGTGAAGTTGCCAGACAAAGATACAGCAAAATTATTCAATCTTGACTCCTTTAAGAAGACACTAGGGCAGGGGTAGGCAACCTTGGCTCACTAAACAGTGATAGCCAGACGTGCTAAAACTGCTGTCGCTAAGCACTTTGTGACCACATTGCTTAACAACAGAAATGTTGGTCCCAATTACCATCATTAACAGCTGGATAGAAGGAAGCCGAGATATGTTGAAAAGGCTCCCTCACCTGTTCTTTTGTTTTCCAGGTTTATCAAATCTGAACGTTCCATCATTCTTCTGAATTTTTGTCTCTCTATTTTGGCCTCCAATGTCTTGATCCTGGTGGGACAGTCCCAGATGCTCAGTAAGGTGAGAAAAACCATTTCCTCCAGAAATGGAGAACATATGAAAGCTTCTGTCATACTTGGGTGTTTAATCGTCCTCTGCTTCACGATGTTTCTTATGGATTTTCCTTATTGGGCACTTTTATTTTTGGTGGAAAGCCAGAAAATAATAGACCAAATTGGAATCTAAAATGGTTCGCGTTCAAAATGTGCTAGATTTTTCCTTCTAATTTAAGCAATTTAATCCTAAAACGACGGAGCTTGATTGAAAATAAAAGCATTTCCCCAGTTATCCGTCTACCTTCCTGGTAGTTTTCTTGTCAATCAAGGATTTGGCAGGAAATTTAGGAAGGCAGATTTTTGTTTTTCTGAAGCTTTGTGACTATATTGTGGACTATAATGCATTCACAAAGTAGATGTTCCATTGTGTTGTTTTAAACCTAAATGTCTTAGAGTTGTATAGTACTTCAGATCCAAAGGTGCTGGGCAGTCATGCAATTCAAAGAAATGCTTTAAAGATGTGCTTGAATGGAAAGTAATAATTAAATTTTGAAAGAAATTAAAAAGTAAAGTAATACAAAAAGAATACCAAAAAAGAATGAAAAAAAAGAAAAAAGATAGAATTATGTTTCCCACCCTTCTTTCTATTAAGCAGTTATTATCTTAAGCCTTTGTGCCTTTTTACTGCACTGTCTAGTTTTACACACACACACACACACAAACACACACACACACACACACACACACACACACAAATGCTATATATAAACATTATTGTGCATGTTAGTATTGATTTTTTATCTAAACTATAGAATGAAGAATTGGAATATAGCATTTTGGAGAATCAATAGGTCCGGTATTAATAAATTTAAGATGGGCTTCTTACAATTAAAAAATGAAATTAATTCATCAGAAAATACAATTTTGTGTTTAGAATGCTTAAACAGGAAGTACATTTTGGTACTGGATTTGTTGTGTTATAAGAAGTTTAAAGGTTCTTTAACAGATCCAGAGTATGGATTCACTAACCTGTTTTTTTTTTAAAGTTCTCTGTGATAAAAATGAAACAATATGTTGATGTGGTCTAGATTTTTTTGATAAGTTTAAGGGTTTAATTAACACTCTGTTTTAGTTCCTGTGTAGATCTTTTCTCTGCTATTTTTTGCTTTTCTTCTGTTTTTTCATGTTTACTTCGTTTTAATTGTTATAAAATATCTAGATACTCTTTTTTGCTGTGCAATCAATTTCTTTTTCTCTATTGGAGATGTAGGAAGAGGTTTTTTATAGTTAAAATTCAAAAAGAAGAAAAAAGAGCTGCATGTGAATACTAGTGTCCCTATGCGTTCCAAAACCCTTTTGGAAAAAAAAAATACAAATCTGAAATTGCCATTATATATGCACACTTTTTAAAACTGTGCTAAATAGGTCAACCCCCATTTCTGAGAATCAAGGTTACCCACGTATCCTACTTCTTGTTTTCCTTTTCCTCTCAACATTTCCATCCCAACTTCTTCAGTGCAATCAAGTTCAGTCTTTTAGGATTTCTGTTGCTGGGGGGGAAATTTAAGTGTTCACCCGGTGCAATAAGAAGCCTTACTTTGCTAAGTTTCAGCTATGGGGAGAAGAACTAAAGCCTTCCTTCCACTTGCCGTGATAACTTTGGGTCTGAACACAGCATGACTACCAACTCTTCTTAGTAACTCTGTCAGGTTAATCTGACACAGGGAGACCAAAGACTGTTGTAGCAGCTCTTTCAACAGACCCATCGCTCCCTGACTCATTAACAGGTAGCTTGCTGCATAATACATCACTGCCCTGTAGCTAGATAGTTAGTTAGTTGTAGTTGTTGTTCAGCCGCTCTGTCACATCTACCTCTTCACAATCCTGTGGACCATAACACACCAGCCCCGCCCCCCGTCCTCCACTGTCTCCCGGAATCTGCCCAAATTCATGTTCATTGCATCAGTGATACTATCTAACCATCTCATCCTCTGCTGTCCCCTTCTCTTTTTGCCTTCCGTCTTTTGTCTATGGAGACTCTCAGTCATCCAGGTCATAGTTATCCCAAAGATGCTTTTTCACGAGGCAACTGGACTTTCTTGTTTTTCTTTGAAGACGTTTCGCTTCTCATCCAAGAAGCTTCTTCAGCTCTGACTGGATGGTGGGGGAATGGAAGGATTTATACTCCTTGCAGACAGCTGGTCATTTTCATTCTTTTAAAGAGTCGTTGATGCCACTTGGAGTTTATCTGTGTCCTCAGGGTCACCTGAGTAGTGCAAATGGGTGTGGAGCCTTCCCTGGAACTGCTGAAAGGACTGGGTTGTAGACCGAAGATAGACGATGTCGTATCCCTCCCTCTCTGTTGAGAGAGGACTGTTCAGTTTTGACATAGATGGCCTCTTTGACCCCTCTTTCAAACCAGCGGTCCTCTCTGTCCATCTTTCCCAACCTCAGGGTTTTTTCCAATGAGTCCTGCCTTCCCATTTGGCGGCCAAAGTAGTTGAGCTTCAACTTCAGCCTCTCTCTTTCCAAAGAACAATCAGGGTTGATTCCCTTTAGGATTGACTGATCTGATCTCCTTGCAGTCCAAGGAACTCTCAAGAGTCTTCTCCAACATTGACTTCATTAGTAAACGTATATGCTGCCCATCTCGCCTACATGCTAAACCCTTAAAACAATAAATAATAACACTGAAAGGGGTTTACAATTAACAAGATAGGAAGGAAAAGAGAAGGATGCACAAGGAGAGGAGGTGGGATCTTATCTTAGTCTATGAGCCATTTTGAGAACGATGCCCCTTCATTGGTTCCCCAGGCCAATTGGCAGAGCCAGATCTTCTGGCTCTTTTGGAAAGCGAGAAGGATGGGTGTGGACCTCACCTTGAGGGGCAGCATGTTCCAAAAGACAGGAGCCACAGCAGAAAAAGCTCCTTTCCTGGACCCAGCCAGGCAGAATTCCTTGAAGGACAGGTTCCACAGCATGCCCCTTCTGCCAGTATTGGTGGGGCAGACCAGTCCCTTTGGGATGAGATGGTTCCTCAGATAGCCTCGACCCATTTTTTTCTTGTACCAGAGAAAGCCCATTATAAGCACAAGAGAAGAAAGGAAGGACATGAGTCTACCACCCCAAGAGCTGTCAATGGTCTTGAGTAGGCCAAATTTGTCTTGCTAAAGAAATATCTGTCCAATTGAAAGCATCACCACTTTTGAACAAGGGCAGGAAACCGACAAAGGGGTTGGTTATTCTGGGTTGTTGTCCCTGTTGTGTGAAAGCGAGAGTTTTGTTGGTGTCAAAAAGTGTAAGAGTGGAATGACAGCTTTTACAGAGCTGCTTTTAAAGCCTGTACCAGTTTGGCCCATCAAAGTAGACCGCCCACAGAACCGTTCTTTCTTCCCAGATTCCTGCAGAATCTGTTTGAAAAGAGAAGAAAAGGCCAGGGGAAAAAAATAAAACGAAATAAAATAAAACAAGTATTCCGGGGATGAGAGATGTTCTATTGTACTACTGCAGTCTCTTTACGAAACTCCATTTATAGCTGATGAAGTGGGTGAATGGTGGGAGAATGGAAAGCAATTTACACCCAGCAGCTGGTGTGTTTTTGAAGCAAGGTATGCGTGGCCCATCCAGTGGGACCCAGCTTTGATGTTTCCAGACACTGATAATGATGCGTATGTGCAAGGCACACACACTCACACACACACATGGGGGGGGGAGAAAGAGAAAAAGAGAGAGAAAAAAGTGAGGAGAGAGAGAGAAAGGGAGGAGAGAGGAGAGGGAAGAGAGAGGGGAGAGAGAAGAGAGAGAAAAGAGAAGAGAGAGAAAGGGAAGAGGGAGGAGAGGAGAAGAGAGAGAGAAAGAGAAGAGAGAGAAAGGAAAGAGGGAGGAGAGGAGAAGAGAGAGAGAAAGAGAAGAGAGAAGAAAGACAGAAATACAGAAAGGGAAGACAGAGAGAGAGAGAGAGAGAGAGAGAAAGAAAGAAAGAGAAGAGAGAGAGAAAGAGAAGAGAGAAGAAAGACAGAAAGGGAAGAGAGAGGAGAGAGAGAGAAAGAAAGAGAAGAGAGAGAGAAAGAGAAGAGAGAAGAAAGACAGAAAGGGAAGAGAGAGGAGAGAGAGAGAGAGAGAAAGAGGAGAGAGAGAGAAAGAGAAGAGAGAAGAAAGACAGAAAGGGAAGAGAGAGGAGAGAGAGAGAGAGTAGACTACAGGCACTTATGCAGACTTGAATCTCTATGCTGATTCAGTGGGAGTTTTGGCCAGATTGGGACATTTTGATGCCACCAGAAAGATCTCCTGTCATAGAATGGATAAAGATACAAAGCAGAGGCAAGATATTTCTGGTTGAAATCTTACTTCACCCACATCTTTACCAGAGAATCAACACCAGTGGCTTGGATTCACACATTGCAATAAATAATAGACCCTGGAACTGGATTCCTGTGTAAGGAAAAAAATGGCTCTGTTGCTTTTTGGGGTTTCTTTCCCTTTGTCTTCCTCCATGGACTCCAAGTTGGTCATGAGACCCAACTTGGTCTACCGAAGCAGAGAGCTGCCATTCTTCCGGAAGGAATCAGCACATGGCTAGTGGACACCTCCCAGGCGTATGATCCTAACTTACCTTGGCTTTGGTTCCTTACTTCCTTTATTTATTGTTTATATTTATATATCCCGCCCTTCTCCTTGCGGACTCATGTGCTGAGGCATTTTGTGTCCCTCTCATGTGCGATAATAGGGAGGGCTCAGCTCCCTTTTCCAGAGCATGGATTTGAGCTCAATATGTCCTTTTGCCACCTTGTCCGCCTATCCATAAAACTAATCAAAGCATTGATTGATTAAAGCCAGAGGAGATGCAAGAGGGGGGAGTTGGGGAAGCAGCCATTTTGCAACCCGTGAGGAAAAACAGGGTGGACTGTTTCTGAGGTTTGAAATTCAGCTCAATGATGTCTCGAGGGCCTGCTCTTAAATTCAATAAATGTCAGTCTGCAAACAAACAACAGCTAGGCCTCAGCATTATGCTTCGAGAGTTTTATATATACATTGGGCACAAAACCATTTCATCACTGCCCAGGGTGCTCGCGCATTGCAGGAACAACCTCCCTCTTGTGGCGTTCCTTTTTAAGGAGTGCCAGAGGAACTATGGTGCTGGAGAAGACTCCTGCGAGTCCCCTGGACTGCAAGGTGATCAAACCAGTCAGTCCTAGAAGAGATCAACCCCGACTGCTCTTTAGAAGGCCAGATCCTGAAGCTGAAACTCAAATACTTTAGCCACCTAATGAGAAGGAAGGACTCAATGGAGAAGAGCCTAATGCTGGGAAAGATGGAGGGCAATAGAAGAAGGGGACGACAGAGAAGGAGGTGACTGGATGGAGTCACTGAAGCAGGAGGCGTGTGCTTAAATGGACTCCAGAAGATGGTAGAGGACAGGAAGGCCCGGAGGAATGTTGACCATGGGGTCGCGATGGGTCGGACACGACTTCGCAACTAACAACAAGAGACACTCCCTCCAATTGCAGTGGGTTTGCAAAAGAAATATTGTGTCCTTGCCATCTTTCTCTAATACCTTTTTCTTCCTGCCATTTGCACTCAGTGGCCACCAGCTTCAGTCACCCCCGTGGCTGTTTCAATCCACCGGGTTGCTGCAGTGATTTCATCCATTTGATTTTTCTAGATCCGTGGTTCTCAACCTTTCCTTCACCATGGATCCCCTTTAAATACCTTTTGTGGCCACAGATCACCAAGACTTAACTCAAGATTTAAATCATAACATTTCTTCAAGCCTTCGCAGCTCCCCCTGGGATGACCTCACAGCCCCACAGGGGTCAGCGGACCCCAGGTTGAGAACCACTGTTCTAGATGGTGTCACAGCTCTCCTGCTGAAACAGTGATGATGTTGTGAGCTAGGGAGAGAACTTGCTTTTAATTACAATCAGAGATCAGAAACAAGCAGAAAAAAAATGCAGTTAGAGTAACGAACACCAGGCAAGTGAAAACTGGAAAGTAAAAAAGTAAAAATGTTACTCGGGTGAAGCAGTAGCCCGTTGTTTACAGATAGTTATGGCTGCTGTATAAAAGGTTGCAGCTTCGTGTGCGATAGAAGCGTTCTCCAAATGATAGAATATTAAGACAAGGTTGATTAGATGGGCCTCAGGATTTCATGGAGGAAAGATGCACTGCCCCCCTAATGTACAGCAGCCTTCCCTGTGGTATGTGTCCTCCAGATGTTGGCAGCTGCACTTGGCCAGAACTCCCTCATAGCATGGACATGATCTGGGAATTGACTGGGGTTGCAGGAAGCTAAACAGATGGTAAGCTTGAGACCGGAAGTTCCTGGTTTAGAAGTGATGACTTGACTATAAACTCAAGGATGGCCTTTACTAACAGGTTAGGAAATAGGGCAGTAGGTTAGGAAAAAAATATCTTACAGGATGGTCATTACTTCACCATAGATGTACACTAGCATGAAATATGTAAAATGAGCTGTATACAGAGTCCTCATTTTATGACTGGTCACTTAGAGACCATTCAAAGTTACGACGGACCTCCCCAGGGATACTCGTGACCCATTTCTGAAAATAAAACAACCCACCTGCAGTTATATGACTGCATTGTGGATGCACCCTGCATTTATGGCCATTTGCAGCATCCTGTGGTCACGTGACAGTGTTTTATGACATTTTTGCAAAAAAAAAGACATTTACTTCCAGTTTTTGGCAAAACCAGCCTATAGTGAGTAATTGGTTCACTTGATTCTGGGGTGTTCGCTTAACAACCTCTGCAAAAAAAAATAATCATAGAATTGGGTCAGCCACATAGGTGATATATTTTACAATCATCCTGACTTATGACCGTAATAGCCAGGCTCCAGTAAGGTCGTAAATCAAGGACTACCTGTTAAAACTAGTTGATATAATCAGTACGAATAGCATGGCTGTTATTATTGTTATTAAATAGACTTCCTTCTATGGCAAGATGCGTATTTTGTGGGAAATACATAGGGCTCTGCAGGAAGGACGAGAGGAGTGGGTGACAAAATGTGTGTGTTGCAATGCACCACAACTCAATGCAAGCTATACCTTTTCATGCTTGTGGCGCACAGTGCCTGCTTTGTCATTCTGCTGTTCTCATCCTTAGGAACAGACACCTGTTATTCCTCTTCATCCAGATGACTGCCATTTTCTTCCTCCTCCAGGGCATCTGCACCATGACAGCTGCCTTCCTCCATTTCTTCTTCCTCTCTTCCTTCTGCTGGGTGCTGACCGAAGCTTGGCAATCTTATTTGGCTGTGATTGGCAGAATCCGAACACGGCTAGTTCGTAAACGCTTCCTCTGCCTCGGATGGGGTAAGAGAGCAGTTCTCATTCTGACCTGGAATTTTATTTCATGTATTGAATTTATTTGCCAGCCATCTTCGGGTGACTCTGAATGGCCTGATTGCCCTTGGTTCATGACTGGATGGCTGAATTTGCACAGTATGTTTAACCCGTTCAGCAAAAGGCATAGCAGCTGCATTCATTCTCAGAATAGGCTAAGCTTAGTTGGTGTTAACCATAGTTTATTTTGGGATGTCTTTGCATCTTAGGTGAATCAAGGCCCAGGTTAGCTTTTGGATCTATGCATTGTGTAAACCCTGAAAATGAGGCTAGTTTAGGAACCATCTTAAGCGGGTTGTCTAAACCTAACCAGGAATTGAAAAAATCCATTAGGGACATAAACGTTCTCATGGATCAAACCATCAAATCACAGTGAGGTTCAAAGATTGTAATCTACCTCTTTAGGAAGATAGGAAATCCAGAATTAGAGTGATAAAATACGGCTTGGCCTTTGCTTCAAGATCTCCAACTATCACTCTTTAACTGATTGAAGTAGCAAACTGTTGTATTATTGAAAGTGTCTCCAGATGATTAATCAAGATCCTTCCTTCTGTAACTTGTTTGATTGGGGGACAACATTTTTAAGTGGCAAACACTCATGTTGTCAAGCCCTTCAAGGTTAGTAAACTCAGGAGACAAGAACCCCTTGGATTTGGGGAATGATCTTCTTTGCTAGAAAGATCTCAAAATAGAATCTTGAAAGGCTGTTAAAGCAATTCCCAGATCAGCTGATACCTAGTGTAATTCAGAGTCTTTCTTTGAGTCTCTTTCTCACACTTCCCTCTTTCCTGGGCTAAACAAACTTTTCTGTAGGGATCCTGCTCTCTTAGCGATCTCTGTCCTCCATAGAGCCATGGTGGCACAGTGGTTAGAATGCAGTCTTGCAGGCTAGCTCTGCTCACAGCCAAGAGTTTGATCCTGACCGGTTCGAAGTCGACTCAGCCTTCCATCCTTCCGCGGTTGGTAAAATGAGGACCCAGATTGTTGGGGATCAGAGGCTGACTCTATAAACCACTTGGAGAGGGCTGTAAATTACTATGAAGTGGTGTGTAAGTCTAAGTGCTATTGCTATTGCTGTATTCCCAGGATCTAGACATCCCATCTCTCCCTCCCTCTCTATGTCTCTCTGCCTCTCTCTCTCTCTGCATGTGTGTATTTGTGTGTGCACACGTACACAGCCAACTCTCGCTAGTTCATGATATTTCCCCATTTCCCCCAAATCTTTTAAGATTTCAGCACCGTCCCCTGAAAATTCTCACAATTTCTCAGGCAGTCTTACAATGTCCTAAAACACTTTTGTGTCTATTTCTATTCCTGCCCAGGTCTGCCAGCTTTGGTGGTTGCAGTTTCAGTTGGCTTCACTCGGACCAAAGGATATGGGACAGCCAGCTAGTAGGTTTCACCGGGAGAGAAGGGTTGGGGAGGGGGGGCAAAGTAGGAACTAACGAGGTGTTGAATAGTTACCCCACTTCCATTGCTTGTCAATTCCATGAAAGGTGAGGGTGAGGAGGAACTTCAAGGTAGAGAGATCCATGTTGGAAAAGGTCCCAAATCAAATATCATCTGATGAGGATTGGAGAGATGGGAGATCACCCTACTGGTCAATGTCCAGTGAGCCTCATTTTCTGTTCCTGATTTTAAATAACACCCTCTCACATCTTTGGACTGTAGTGATTACCTCCTCCACTTTCATTTTTGAAAACCTAACCAGTCAGTTTTTAGGTGTCATTCCTGGCTGATAGTCTTCTGAACACCCTAAGATCTTTTTGATCATTCCAAGAATCGCCATTAAAGTTAGAGGGAGATGGATCTCTTCTTCAGAGGAGGTGGGACTAAGGCAAGATGGGATGGTCACGTGGGGAGGCATCAGAGATGCTAATTCTTTGGAGGCTTGTTCCTGCTCTTAGTCGGTTTTGAAACAGTGAATTTTCCTTTTCTCTCCAGCTGCTGGCTGTCCCTTGAAGGAGGACTGCTGTATGCCTTTGTGGGTCCTGCTGCTGTGATTGTGCTGGTAAGAACTCAGAGATTGTTCTAGGGTACCAGTGATCTTACTTACTTACTTACGTATTTATGTATGTATGTATGTATGTATGTATGTATGTATGTATGTATGTATGTATTCATTCATTCATTCATTCATTCATTCATTCATTCATTCATTCATTCATATGGTTGGTTGGTTGGTTGGTTGGTTGGTTGGTTGGTTGGTTGGTTGGTTGGTTGGTTGGTTGGTTGGTTGGTTGGTTGGTTGGTTGGTTGGTTGGTTGGTTGGTTGGTTGGTTGGTTGGTTGGTTGGTTGGTTGGTTGGTTGGTTGGTTGGTTGGTTGGTTGACTGACTGACTGACTGACTGACTGACTGACTGGCTGACTGACTGATATGGCTGTCCACTCACTCTCAGTGATTCTGGACAGCTTACAAACAGACTTGGGCTGGTCTCATTCTGTCCCCTCTGTGGGGTTTCCATTTCATGCGATTCTGATGCAAACAGTCATGGACCTATATAGGTTCACTTAAAATCAAACTTTTTTACTTGAGTTGATAAAATATATATAGATATCCCTCCGTGCCCCCAAATTCTGCCACCTATCACACCTACAGAATAGAGAGCGGTAGCTCTCTTCCCATTGGTGCTGGGCTCTTTCCTCTCCCTAGACCAGGGGTAGGCAATCTCGGCTCTTTTATGACTGATGGACTTCAACTCCCAGAATTCCTGAGCCAGCCACGCTGAGGGGAATGGGAGAGGTTTCCATGCTGAGCCAGGGTGGCTCAGGAATTCTGGGAGTTGAAGTCCATGGGTCATAAAAGAGCCAAGGTTGCCTACCCCTGGCCTAGACGATTCTTAACAGGGTGAGGATGGGAGCAGGACAGAAGGCCTCACATCTGCTGAGGAATAGGAGGAGTTGTTTGCATTGGTAGAAGAAAAAGAGCCCTCCTTGGGGAATTTTGGGGCCACCAAAAATTGCATGAAGAGCCAGTCATGCTAAAGAGTAGAATTTGTCCCATTTCCTCAGCTTTTGAGGGGAAAAAAAGAAAGATATGGTATGCTCATTACATAGTAGAATTTGTCCAAATTGGATTCAGAAGGAGAGGTGCCTTCTGTTTTCATTTCCGTCCCTGGAAACTGTGATCAAGGCTATTAAACACAGAGACAGTGTGGATAATTTGCTCTTGAATTATCTAGTGTGCCATACGAACCTTTATTGCTGGTGCCTATTCAACAGACCAAACTGAAACATAGCTTAGCCCTATGTCTCATTTAGCCAGGATCTCACTGAACCTCGTGATTCTCTAGCTTAATCTGCTTTTGCAGTATAAAAATGACACCACTTCTCTGGAGATAAAGTTACAAACTGTTTTCTATGTTTGAAAAGGGCTGTAACATTCCCAATACAGATAATATCTTAAAAGTGTGATAAAATGTGTAGTAAAAATTAATGAGAACCAAGATATAAAAGCCAACATAAATACAACTAAATCCAGCTTGTCTAGTTAACAAATTTACTTCCTTCCTCCCTCTTTCCCTTCCTTCCCTCCTTCCTTCCTTCATTCCTTTCTGCCTGCCTTCCTCCCTCCCTCCCTTCCTCTCTCCGTCCTTTCCTAACTTCCTTCTCCTCAAAGTCCTTGAGAATTTAGTTGGAATTTCTTGTTGATTTTTTAAAAATTTACTTAGTTATTAGAGGGGGTGGGGGAGAGCTTCTTACAATGAGTTCCCCAGAGTTGACATATTGAGGAGATGGGCAGCATATAAATGTAATAAATAAATAAATTATGTCTTTCCCTGCTAAATGTTCAAGCCAGAGAGACTGCAGACAGCAGAAGAGTAATAAAAAACAAGATATTCACACACATATATTGTCTACTTACTTATTCAGAAAATACAAGAACAATGGTGAAGTTCACTGATATTCTCTTCTCCCGTAAAAGCAATGTCAGGAAGCTAATGCGGAGTGTTCGGCTTTTATGTTGTTATAGGGACTTGTTATAGAGCAGGGGTGTCCAACCTTGGCAACTTTCAGACTTGTGGACTTCAACTCCCAGAATTCCTCAGCCTGAATGAGATGACCAGGCTGAGTCCGATGGAGAGGTCAAACGTATCATCAGTCATGAGTCCCTTCGTGCCCACAAGAGATCTGAGCCCAGCCTATTTTGAATTCTTTTGACTCGTATCTACTGACAATTTGCTTTGACCATTAGTCATTCAGATTCTTGTGGAGAGCTGAAGCTTGCAATAAATCCTTATACTCTTTTCAACTGCCTGGATTCAACTGCCTGGGACTTGACACTGGCTGGGGAATTCTGGGAGTTGAAGTCCGCGGATCTTACAGTTGCCAAGATTGGACACCCGCGCAAATTTAGAGCAAACCATGGTTTAGAAAGAAAAGAGTTCCCGGTCACTGCTTATCACAAATTTCTCTCCCACCCAGGTTAACATGCTGATTGGGATCATCGTATTTAACAAGCTGATGTCTCGAGATGGTATCTCAGATAAGTCCAAAAAGCAGCGAGCCGGGTAAGTCCCTGTGCAGTCTCAGCACCCACCCATGGAGAGAGGGACTCATTTTTTGGTTGAGACCTTGGAAAAAGTTCAGAGAAGAACATCTAAGATGATCAAAGGCCTGGAAACTAAAACATGAAGAATGGTTGCAGGACTTGGGTTTGGCTATTCTAAATAAAAGAAGGAGTAGGGGTGACATGATAGCAGTATTCCAGTATTTGAGAGGCTGCCACAAAAAAGAGGGGGTCAAACTAGTCTCCAAAGCAGCAGAGGGCAGGACAAGAAACACTGGTTGGAAACTAGTCAAAGAGAGAAGCAACCTGGAATTAAGGAGAAACTTTCTAATAGTGAGGACAATTAACCAGGATGTGGCAATTGTTGTAAAAAAAAAAAAAGATGCCAGTTGCCAAGTGACTGTAGGGACGATGCAATGGTTGTCACTGCAACAACTGGTCGTAAGTCACTTCTTTCAGCCCATTGTAACTTCAAACAGTCACTAAACGAATGATTGTAAGTCAAGGACTACCTACATACAAAAACAATCAGACTAACTAGAACCACTCCCCCCCCCAAAAAAATTCATTATAAATCTCATTTCAGTTGAATTCTGGTTGCAACTTGTAGGGGTCCAAGTCCTTCTCCAACGCCTCCAAGCCTTTCCACAGCTTTGTGAAATGCTGCTCATATTAATGAAAATAATATTTTTAGCCTCCAGTGACACTTTGACAAATGTATTCCTAAGAGGATTCTTGGAAGTCAGTTTATATTTTTGATTTAGGTAAAATTGAGTGGCGTCTGTAGGGTGGAACTATGCCTGACAGTGAAAAATCAATATAGTTAGCACATCTTGTCCTATTATCTCCAAATCTGGGGCTAAAATCAAGAGGATAGTCAATAGCTTGCATTGATTGCTGCATGTTAAAGAAGCATATGTCCTTCTGGGGTATGTCCCCAGTATTTGCTATTTATGAACACCAGGAATTAGACATTTTAAGCTTGCGGGCTGGATGAAGATTTATTATATTAAGTCTAAAATAGAACTGCGCTCGGCCGGAAGATCAATATATTTAGCATATCTTTTACGTGTGCTCATGTAGGGACAGAAAATGCAATGCAATTTTGTTCTTAACTCTTGCAGGTAATACAGTCTAGGGGACTCGCAGGAGTCTTCTCCAGCACCATAGTTCAAAGGCCACAAATCTTTGGCGCTCAGCCTTTCTTAGGGTCCAACTTTCACAGCCATACATTGCAACTGGGAAAACCATGGCCTTGACTATATGTACCTTTGTTGGCAGGGTGATGTCTCTGCTTTTTATTATGCTGCCTAGATTTGCCATAGCTTTCCTCCCCAGGAGCAAGCGTCTTTTAATTTCTTGGCTGCAGTCCCCATCTGGAGTGATCTTGGAGCCCAGGAAGATAAAATCTGACACTACCTCCATTTCTTCCCCGTCTATTTGTCAGGAATTGAGAGGGCCAGATGCCATGATCTTGGTTTTCTTAATGTTGTATGCGGTACCTAAATCTAAAAACAAACGTTGCAGTTCTTAGCTGTCCAAACCAAGAATTTTAAGCCTGGTAGTGTAGGATATTCTATTATGGCTGCAAGACTTTTCCTGCAAAATACTCCTGAACTCACTCACTTGTATTAATGTATTAATCTTGTTTGTGGTTTGAGGGGCTTATTTACTAAGTCTCACATAGGAGGGGGAAAGTCCCCCCCCTGATATTCTGCTGCAGAAAAAGAAGTTTTGTGCATCGTTCCTGCTGCTCTTTTCTGCCAGCTAAGCCGTTTCCTTCTACAGGGGGGGGGAAGGGGAGGGAGGGGCAGGGAAATTGGGAGGACAACAGTTAAATTGGATTTGATCAGAGCTCACACTGAGCACTTGAAAAGCCTCCAGCATAATGAACACTCCAAACTACAAATCTATTTAGTTATGCAGTGTGAGGAACGGAAAGAGAAGATGAAAAGCAGCCTCTTCGAAATGAGCACTCCCCATACAAAGCACCCTGGTTGTGTGGACTGGGGACAGAGGCTGCACAAGGCTGCACATGGAGGCTAAATCATATAAGGAACGGTTGCTGGAATTGGGTATGTCTAGTTTAACGAAGAGAAGGACGAGGGGGGACATGATAGCAGTGTTCCAATATCTCAGGGACTGCCCCAAAGAAGAGGGAGTCAAGCTATTCTCCAAAGCACCTGAAGGCAGGACAAGAAGCAACAGATGGAAACTAATCAAGGAGAGAAGCAACCTAGAACTAAGGAGAAACTTCCTGACAGTTAGAACAATTAACCAGTGGAACAACCTGCCTCCAGAAGCGGTGAATGCTCCAACACTGGAAGTTTTTAAGAAGAGANGTCAATAGCTTGCATTGATTGCTGCATGTTAAAGAAGCATATGTCCTTCTGGGGTATGTCCCCAGTATTTGCTATTTATGAACACCAGGAATTAGACATTTTAAGCTTGCGGGCTGGATGAAGATTTATTATATTAAGTCTAAAATAGAACTGCGCTCGGCCGGAAGATCAATATATTTAGCATATCTTTTACGTGTGCCCATGTAGGGACAGAAAATGCAATGCAATTTTGTTCTTAACTCTTGCAGGTAATACAGTCTAGGGGACTCGCAGGAGTCTTCTCCAGCACCATAGTTCAAAGGCCACAAATCTTTGGCGCTCAGCCTTTCTTAGGGTCCAACTTTCACAGCCATACATTGCAACTGGGAAAACCATGGCCTTGACTATATGTACCTTTGTTGGCAGGGTGATGTCTCTGCTTTTTAGTATGCTGCCTAGATTTGCCATAGCTTTCCTCCCCAGGAGCAAGCGTCTTTTAATTTCTTGGCTGCAGTCCCCATCTGGAGTGATCTTGGAGCCCAGGAAGATAAAATCTGACACTACCTCCATTTCTTCCCCGTCTATTTGCCAGGAATTGAGAGGGCCAGATGCCATGATCTTGGTTTTCTTAATGTTGTATGCGGTACCTAAATCTAAAAACAAACGTTGCAGTTCTTAGCTGTCCAAACCAAGAATTTTAAGCCTGGTAGTGTAGGATATTCTATTATGGCTGCAAGACTTTTCCTGCAAAATACTCCTGAACTCACTCACTTGTATTAATGTATTAATCTTGTTTGTGGTTTGAGGGGCTTATTTACTAAGTCTCACATAGGAGGGGGAAAGTCCCCCCCTGATATTCTGCTGCAGAAAAAGAAGTTTTGTGCATCGTTCCTGCTGCTCTTTTCTGCCAGCTAAGCCGTTTCCTTCTACAGGGGGGGGGGGGAAGGGGAGGGAGGGGCAGGGAAATTGGGAGGACAACAGTTAAATTGGATTTGATCAGAGCTCACACTGAGCACTTGAAAAGCCTCCAGCATAATGAACACTCCAAACTACAAATCTATTTAGTTATGCAGTGTGAGGAACGGAAACAGAAGATGAAAAGCAGCCTCTCCAAAATGAGCACTCCCCATACAAAGCACCCTGGTTGTGTGGACTGGGGACAGAGGCTGCACAAGGATGCACATGGAGGCTAAAGCATATAAGGAACGGTTGCTGGAATTGGGTATGTCTAGTTTAACGAAGAGAAGGACGAGGGGGGACATGATAGCAGTGTTCCAATATCTCAGGGACTGCCCCAAAGAAGAGGGAGTCAAGCTATTCTCCAAAGCACCTGAAGGCAGGACAAGAAGCAACAGATGGAAACTAATCAAGGAGAGAAGCAATCTAGAACTAAGAAATTTCCTGACAGTTAGAACAATTAACCAGTGGAACAACCTGCCTCCAGAAACGGTGAATGCTCCAACACTGGAAGTTTTTAAGAAGAGACTGGACAGCCATTTGTCCGAAATGGTATAGGGTTTCCTGCCTAAGCAGGGGGTTGGACTAGATGACCTCCAAGGTCCCTTCCAACTTTACTATTATTATTATTATTATTATTATTATTATTATTATTATTATTATTATTATTATTATTATTATTATTATTATTATTATTATTATGTGGGTTGGGTCCAACAGCAGAAAAAGCATCTTCGCCACCACAGTCAGGACTGTGAACGGGATACGTCTCACCCTTGCCTTGTTTTTGCAATGCAGGCAGTCCTCAACTTACGACTCAAATCGGGATGAGAATTTCTGTTGCTAAGTAGGGTGGTTCCGTGAGTCGTGGCTGATTTTTATGCCATTTTTTTTCCCCAGAGTTGTTAAGTGACTCATGCTTGTCCGAAGTTGTAAATCGCTTTTTTTCAGTGCCACTGTGACTCTGAACGGTCGCTAAACAAATGGAGCCGGCAAGTGACGTTTAAGAGGGGTTTAATTTTTAAAGGTGATTTAAAAAGAAAAAAACAAAGAAGCCCTGCTTGCTGAAAAGGTGCTTTGGAAGAGGTGTGCATGTGTGAATCGTTCGCGATGGCAGTTTCTTTTGGCAGCAAGCTGAAGCAAGTCACCCCAGCAGCCCAGGAGCTGGGAAACCTTTTTTTTTTTTTCCATTTCTCTTGCAAAGTGACAACTGCTTGTGGCCTTTCCAAATTAGCCCCAGCAAACTCCTTGGCCTCCCGTGCAGATTGTGATGGCCCGGAGAACAGCTGTGCCCTGCTGGCGGCTCTTGTTTGTTTTAGCAAAGCTTCTGCAGGAGACTTTCGGTGATGCAATAAACTCAGGCTTTCAGCGCCTCGGCTCTCCCCCTGCTTGAAGAAATTGAGAAGATGCTTGAAAGAAAACCAATCTGATTCCCTTTAGCGAGCTGACAATCTGCCCTCCTTGAGCACCACCTGCTCTTCCTTCGCCGTGTTTTCTCCCATCTACATGGCTGGAAATGTGCCCTGTTGTTTCCCTGCATTTCTTTCAACAGGCATTTAACAGCCAAGCAAGGACGCTGGAATTAAAAGACAGTTAGAAATAATTAATCGCATGCATGAACTACTTCTCTCTCTCTCTCTCTCTCTCTCTCTCTCTCTCTCTCTCTCTCTCTCTCTCTCTCTCTCTCTCTCTCTCTCTCTCTCTCTCTCTCTCTCTCTCTCTCTCTCTCTCTCTCTTTTTTTTTTTTTCTCTCTCTCTCTTCTTTCTCTCTCTCTCTCTCTCCCTCCCTCTCCCTCTCTCCCTTCCTTGCTTTTAATGCATGCAAAGGACAGGAGAGGATGTAATGCAGGCCGTTACATCTGGAAAAAGCAATTAATCTTTTTCAATCTTCATGGAAAAGATGAAGAGAATTGAGTGAAGAGTTGAGCAGGGACATCAAAAGGAATATATATATATATATATATACGTTAGATCCAAGAGTCGCGCGCAGGCATTGGCTGGTGTATAAAAGTATTTTCTCCCATTGAGTCATTTGTACCCTGATGATGTTGGTAGATTCCAACGAAAGCTAGGTCTGTTATAGCATTTTAAAATCTTTTTAAAATTTTTAATGTTTTATTAAAACTTTTAATGATTTTAACTTTCCCTGGTGTTCACTTTTATTGTTTTACTATGGATATGCCCAGGGATCATTCATCTGTTTTTAGTGTCATTTGTAATATATATATATTAGATTCTTCTCCAATCAACTTCCACCCCACTCCAAAAGCGGTCAGGTTTGCAATTCATCTAGGCAGGATGAATAGATCTCAACAAGGGGCATTATAGCATTTATTGATAGAAGCCCAGTTTCACTGCATGCCTGGCTGAGATATAGTGTTGCCATCATCTCAAAAGAAGACTCAGTTGAGCCTTGGCCATTTTGAAATGCAGGGAAATTTAACAGCAGGGACTTGGCGTGGAAATATCCCAGCCTTAAGAGTTGTTTTTGTTTTTAGCCTGGAGCAAGTAAGGGAAAAGAGAGTCATAGCAGATACACATAAGGTCATGCAGGGTGGATGTTGTATTGGAATTCAGGATCCATCCCTTAAAATGAACTTTGTGGGGATTTAGGACCATCTTTTTCACACCATCTAGAATTAAATCGTGACCTTCCATGCTTTCGGGCCAGGGGTCAGCAAACAAAATTGGGCGGTTGTAAAAGTGGATTGCACAGATTCATGGCAGGTCAGATTATCAATGGTTTTTTTTAGTGCTTCTGGGATCAGAGATAGCAGCATTATTATGGACCAATAGTGGGGGCAGTCATCAAGCCCCAGCCATAGTTGTGAATGTTCTGAAGCCAGCTGGTTGACCAATGTGTGATGCAAGATGTTGACCCAGATGTGATCTTGGCCTGATCTAACAAGTCTCATCTTATGTTCTGTTGCGCAGAACAAGGAATGAAAAGTTATTTTGTAACTTCCTAGCCATGTCTGTCTTATTGGTGGTCTTTGTTTTGTTTTTTTAATGTGATTTTTTTTGGGGGGGCATGTTGTCTAGTTGAGCTCTCTGCAGATTTTGTGGAAGTGCATGAAGTTTAGGAAACAAGCTAATCCTTTGCCCAAAACAGAGTCTAATCCAAGGTGTAGGCTATGAGAGAAGCAGTGAGTTTGTAGGTCATCTCAGATTTGAATAATTTAATGCAAGATAGGGATGCTTGAAGGAGGAAAGCCTTAATGAGGGGGAAAGGAAAAGAACTGAACGAGAAGCAAGAAGCAGGATATTGCTGGTGAATTCCTTCCTGCAGGAACCCCTCGTGAAATTCTAGATGAACGTGCCTCTGGGTTCATGCAGAGTATAATCTCACATTGACTCCAGAGACTGGCCACATTTCTTAAGCATGCTCATCTTCAACCTGTTGCCTCCTATATAGGTTGAACTTGTGTTCCGGTCATCTTCAGTGTCATACCATATCGCCTGACTGATTGATCAGCTGACCATACCAAGAAACAATAAGCATCAAGCCACACTAATTTTTGAATAAATTTTGAAAGATAACATAGTGGGGGTCCATGGTGCCCTCTGAGCTTGGTTGTTTTCTTTCGGATGTTTCGTTATCCCACTACATAATATCATCAACGGGGTTTGCTCTCTGCTTATATACAAGTAGCTCACTCTGTCAGCTGTTGTAGGAGTATCCCTGGTGGTTCCTTGATTAGACTACTGTTTACTGTTCGATTGTTAGTCTGGGTTGGTAATTTCTTGATTGGGGTATTGATTACTGCTGGATTGTTGATAAGATAAAATAAAATGAAGATGAGATAAAATAAGCCTGGTGCACTGGTGGAATTCAAATACCTGTACAACCGGCTCTATTATGTGATGCAGGCCTGGGTCTCCGTTGCCTAGAACGGACTTCCAGAAGTGGCATCAACGCACTTCCGGTGGGCCGTTCTAGGCCTGGGACGCCTCCTCCAGGCCTCCGATGCAATGGTGGATTTCAAATAGCTGAACAACTGGTTCTATTATGTGATGCAGGCCTGGGCCTCCAAGGCCTAGAACGGACTTCACTTCCGGTGGGCCATTCTAGGTCTGGGAGGCCTCCTCCAGGCCTCCGATGCAGTGGTGGATTTCAAATACCTGAACAACCGGTTCTATTACGTGATGCAGGCCTGGGCCTCCGAGGCCTAGAACGGACTTCACTTCCGGTGGGCCATTCTAGGTCTGGGAGGCCTCCTCCAGGCCTCCGATGCAGTGGTGGATTTCAAATACCTGAACAACCGGTTCTATTACATGATGCAGGCCTGGGCCTCCGAGGCCTAGAACGGACTTCCGGAAGTGCCATCAACGCACTTCCGGTGGGCCATTCTAGGTCTGGGAGGCCTTCGAGGCCTAGAGTGGACTTCCAGAAGCCAGACGGTTCTCCAAATTCAGCTAAATTTAGCTACTGGTTCTCCCGAACTGTGGCAAACCAGCTGAATCCCACCACTGGCCTGGTGGCATGGATGCTGTGCCTCTATCTTAACTGCAACAGGTTGAGACAGAGGAGTGAGAGGTAGACCTGAAGCACCCCAAGCTGCCTTTTTAGTGTTTGTTCACCCTCCAGTGCTGACCGACATCAGCCCTCCCATTCAAACTGCTTCAGCGAAATGGTCCCAAGGCCTTTATTCCAGCCAGGCTGTGGGCATTCCCCACCCTTTCTTCAATCCCAAATTCCCTGCGAATGGCTCCTGGGCCTATCCGTCTCACGTTCTCCACTCTCTCTCCCCCCTCCTAGGGCGTCTCTGTGGAGCTCCTGCGTGGTTCTTCCCCTCCTGGCGCTCACCTGGATGTCAGCTGTGCTTGCCATGACTGACCGGCGCTCCATCCTCTTTCAAGTTCTCTTTGCCGTCTTCAACTCGGTGCAGGGCTTCGTCATCATCACCGTCCACTGCTTTCTGCGCAGAGAGGTGGGCGTTTAGAGTTGTCGGCTTGCTGGATGTTCATTGGGGATGGAGGTGCTCCTGGCATGTACTCAAATAGGCCAATCCTGAGAATGGGGATGGGTAGACCAAGTCATTGGCAATTCATGCCATTTGCCCAATCCAGCCCATTGTTAAGCCCACTTTCTCAAAACTTGATTCATAACTTAATCAAACTTACTGTGGGTTTGTGCCGCAGGGTAACATGCACACACACAGAGAGAGAGAGAGAGAGAGAGAGAGAGAGAGAGAGAGAGAGAGAGAGAGAGAGAGAGAGAGAGAGAGAGAGAGAAGGTTTTACAAGCTTTACAAAGCAGCCATCAAGGTTTTAACTGATCTAGTTAAGGGTGTTGTCCACAGGCACGAACCAGATTTGATAAGAGACAAAAACGAAAACAAATTTGTTTTGCCTTTTGTCAGAAAATCAACACTGCCACCTTGGAAAATAACTTTCTATATCAAGGGTATAGGACAGCGGTGGCGAACCTATGGCATGGGTGCCAGAGGCGGCACTCAGAGCCCTCTCTGTGGGCACACGCACCGTCTCCCCAGCCCCGCCTCCTCCCACAGCCCCCTTCTCACCAGCAGCTCCCCCCCGGAGGAGAGCAGCCCCTGGGCGCGGCCCACATGAAGCAGTGCAGCCAAGGACATGGTAGCCGGGCAGCGGGGACAACACTCTGCCCTTGCGCCCCGTCACACACAGATGATGCTGCAGGGCATGGGCGGAGTGCGTGGCCACCATGGCACTGCTGGGCTGCCTGGGTGATCTGTGGCGGGCCGTGGAGGTGGTGGGTGACCCAGTGGGCAGGGTGGAGCAGGGACGGGGTGGGGGGCAGTTTTTGGGCACTCGGTCTCTAAAAGGTTCGCCATCACTGGTATAGGAAATGTAGGCTATGTCCATTACTGCATTCCCAAGCCTCTCCCTGGTCACTTACCTGGTTCCCTGCCCCACCTGAACTAAAAGATAAAAACTGAACATAGCACAAACCCCTAGCATCCTATTTGTTCACAGTAATGCTTGTCCTGAATTCCCTACTGTAATGGGAACCCCAACAGGAAGACTGGCCTGGAAAAGGGATCCACAATATGCATTCCAAATTCCAGATGTGCCATTGTCTCAGAAATGTTTCTTAATCCTGTATGACCACACTCCCCATTTTGTTGCTCACAAAAAAAGGATGATGAAATGGGAGACCGCATTTTTCCTAGTTCCGCCATGACTTTTTTCAGCTCTACAAAACTTTATATATGGAGGCTCCCTGTAAAGAAGAAATCGTGAGCAAAGATAATTCTAGATCTCTGTTCTGACTGGACTTCCCATGTGTCCTGCCTCCATACAAAGAAATTTGTTGTGGGAGATATTTGTATCCTGAAATGTGGGAAAACAAACCTAAATATAACCATGACAATGCTATTGCTGCCTGTGGCAGATAACACCTGACTGCCCTTTTAGAATTCAGAAGCTAAAGAGGTTAAAAAATGGGGGTCTCCAAGACAGATTGGAAAAAAGAAAAATAGCACTCTGGAATAAGACTTTATCAAACCACTTCAATATTGTTATCAAGAAAACTACCCAGAAATGTCCATGAAATCCCCATCAGTTGAGGTTGACCTAATGGAGACTTCAGCAACAATAATTTATTTTCACCTTTGGTCAGAAAATAAATGTGCTGAAGCTATCCAACATCTGGAAAAGAGAATTGCCTTCGGAGCAGGAAGCATTTCATGCAGTGAAATCAATTGAGCTAAACGCCATTGTCTGTTCAATATTCCCCGCCACATTTGAGGCAGGCAAATTGGGTCCAATATTTGGGCAAATTCCTCTGTGAAAATGAAGAAACGCTGTAAGGATTTCTGCAGGACAGGGTCTCCCTTAGCAGTGACCGTCACATTGTTCCTAAAGTCATCCAGGCCAGGAAATCCATCCAGGCCAGGAAATCCATCCAGGCCAGGAAATCCATCCTTACCCTGATTGGAAGGGTGGGAAGCCAGGAAAAGTGGCCTGTAGAGAGCAGGACCAGACAGCTGCATGCTGTGCTTGGCCAATTCACAATTTAAAAACCTTCTAAGAATTTTATTGAATTCTCTTATCGGTTGAAAGAAAATATGACTAATTTCTCCTCCATTCAGTTGAAAGAGGCCCAATAAAAAACAGTGCAAGTGATAGCTTGAATAACTTTCAAGAGGCCCCATCTTTTGCTCAAATTCTCCATCAGTCAGCCCAGTTAATGGCCATCAGGTACATGGAAGAAGATGGACTCTCCTGTCCTTTGACCTACTGTATGCTATGTCTTCCCTGCTTCATCCATCTTGGCTCTGAAGGCTGGAATCCCTTTTCCCGTGCCCTGTTTCTTTTCGTGTGAGTCATAAAGCAATGTTTCTCAATCTTTGCAATTCAATATGTGAGCACTGTAACTCCCAAAATTCCCAAACAAGCATACCTTAAGATATGTGGACTGCATGCTGGCTGGGGAATTCTGGGAATTGAAGTCCACACATCTTAAAGTTACCAAGGTTGAGAAGCACTGTCCTAAAGCCTATGGAGACTCTCAGTCATCCAGATTAGAGAAAATAGGCAGTGGAGGAAGAACGCCATGTTATAAAGACTTGGGGTCAAATGATCTGTCTGTCTCCTGCAGGTCCAGGATGTGGTGAAATGTCAGATTGGCGTATGTAAAAGTGACGAAAATGAGAATTCACCAGATTCGTGCAAGAACGGGCAAGTCCAGATCATGGTGAGTGAGTGTGGGCTGTGTTGTGAGAAGAGAAGAGACACGGTAGAACCACTGTAGATGCACAAAAGGTCAGAGTCTTACACTACAGGCTGTGGGGGGTTAAACAGAATTGTGCACCTTGAAGACCTAGGATTGAGTATATCCCCCACAAGATCTTCAAGATGGCCTGATACTTTCAAAAATTACCAAATTTCTTTAACAAACGGGAAAAGATGACAATATGTTGTTGTAATAGCCTACCAGTACATAATTGGGGAATTGTTTGAATTATATTTAATTTTAACCCCATTTAAATGTGGATGAAAAGGTATGTTGTCTCTTCTGACATTCTGGGGAGAGAAAAGTTCCTTGAGGATGAGCTCCAGCACGAGTCGGAAAGCTCAGAAGACTAAACCTTTGGTCCTAGTGACCCGCCCAGATTAGATCCTGCAGCATATGTAGTTGTCCAGCCCCATCAAAGGCTGAGGATGGCCCTTAGGGTAGAAAAAATTGCATATCTTTCTCTTGCAGCCCTTCAAAGCCAGCACTCCTGGCCTTGCTTTGATCTCTTCCTAGCGCTCTCCATGCCCAAATTTCATCCAAGTGAGGAGAATGGGCAGACGTGAATGTCCTTCAGCCTACACACATACTGTGCTTATGGCTGTGTTGCCAGTTGCATATGTGTGGAATTACTGAACATTTCTATTATGATCAATCAATTTTCCTAACGTTCAAAGAACTGCAGGTGTGTCATCTGAATTATCTCTATGTGTGCTCTCAAAGATAGAGCTGACAGCAAAGGGGAAGAGATGATATTCATGACTTTGACCTAGTTCATGATGGGGATTCTTTGGTCTTCATGTGCATTGAGTGAAGCCAGTTGCAATGGTTTATATACTATGATTTATTTCTTAATGCATGTGTAAACCCAGCCATTCATTAAACCAACTGTTGTCCTACATTTTTCATGATGCTTGGTTTGACTTCATATTTGGGAGAACACAGCCATTGCAAATTTTAAATTATGGATTATAAGATAATGTGGATAGCTAGACACTTTGAATGTAGTCAACAAACCATGACAAAAAAAGCAATCCAGAATGCAGTATGTGAACCCCATGAAGAGCTAATAAGATCAAACTTAGTTGAGATTAAACTAAGAGGTTCCAGACTCACAGCACACACTTGTGTGTTTGTTTCAAGCTGTGATCTGGTTGGCCTTTCTTATGAGATAGGCTTTGTCATTTTGGCCAGGCACATGTCCATCTTTGAGGTCACCTTTATGCCAGTTTCGTGCTGATCAGTCATCAAATATTAACTCGGCTATTGGGGGCTCAGCCAAGCACACATAATATCACCATTTGAACTTGGCTTTCCAAATAGACTATCTACTTAAACATGCAAACAGTGTTGAGGATTTGTTCCAATAGGACAGAGCTTAAAACATGTTGGTTATTCCAATATAGGGACTGACGGGAACTTATAACCACTCCTTATTTCTTCATTTTTATCCAAGGACCACACTTGTAGGTGGAATGGTAATCCATGATGAGTATTCCTTATCTCAGTAAATTAGCAACTACCAAACAAACAAGCAGAAGGGCTGCAAAACACATCCATTTGCATTTAATTGTTACTTTGTTTGTTTTTGGGGTGGGTTTTGATTTATTTTCTTAAATCATCCCCCTTCTTCAGCTTCGCTGTAGTTGGGTGGTGAGTAGCATCCAGTGTTGGTAATCAACCCACTCATAGTCTTACATTGAAACTTGAGGATCAGAACTTGTTTTGAATTCCTGTTGTTTATTAGGGCAGAATATTCAGAACAACAAAGAAAGGAAATTTTTGTTTGGTCCCAAGCTTTTTGACAAAAATATTATACAAGGTGCTTGATGAACAAGCTCCAAACATTCAGAACAGCCATTCAGAATATCTTGTGCACCCTTATTTTTTTTCCTTACCCCGAAAATAATTTAATCGATATGGAAAGTCCAAATTAAGTAATATAATTGAATCTTGTTTGCTATCCATGATGCATTCATTTCTCCACCCCCACCTTCTTCTCTTCTCTTCTCTTCTCTTCTCTTCTCTTCTCTTCTCTTCTCTTCTCTTCTCTTCTCTTCTCTTCTCTTCTCTTCTCTTCTCTTCTCCTCTCCTCTCCTCTCCTCTTCTCTTCTCTTCTCTTCTCTTCATTCTCTCTTCTCTTCTCTTCTTCTCCCTTTCTCCCCCTCTTCCTGTGTTTTTATAGACAGATTTTGAAAAGGATGTTGACCTGGCATGTCAGACAGGTGAGGACCTCTCTCTTCCTTCCTGTGTGAGAAAAAGAGGGTTTGACTGTGGAATGATCTTACTGCATGATGGAGAAGGGACCAGTTTTACTCCTTTCCCAGGGTGTAAAAGAAACTCAAGGTATTTTAGAATTGTGGAAGGCTAGGAGGTCAGGATTTGATGGGTTTGAACTTATGGTGCAAGAAGAAGGACGTAGGTTGCAAGAGAAGGAGGCTTCCAGTGCTAGGCTCAGCCAGCTTAAGTCTAATGGTATGACCACGTCAGGCTATGTACTATACACATGTAGTGGTAATTATTACTGTCTGGTCCAATTTCTCTTTCCTTTCCCCATTATCTTCCATACCATCAATTCAGCCTGAAACTAATACCAATATTATGCTGAAACCAGTTCTACAATTTGTCCAATTTTTGCCTTCCCCTTCCATTTTATCCCCTTAACTTTAATGGTTAAGGTTACATAACCCTTAACCCTTATGGTTAAGGTTACTTTCAAATTTCACAAAGCTGGTTTTCAGCTGACTATATGGTTGAAAGACTCAGAAGAAGCTACCAAAAAGAGGAATTATTTTCCGTGACTTCCCTCTGCCACTTTTTCTGGCTGCCCACTCTTTCCCAGTTGGGAAAAATCCCAGCAGGGAAGTCTCTAAGATGGGGAGAGAGAGCCAAAACCTGCAAAAATGGAGGATACAACATCACGCCTTGCCCCTTTTGTAGATCTGTATGTGTGCCTCCCATAAAAGATAGTGTACATCATCTTGCAGATTATCTATTCTGGGGAGGAGGCAGTTCCCTGGAGGTGTGATGGTGCAATGGAAGACAAGGCCATTCAGTCAAGGACAGCCCTTGACTCTCTCCTAAGTTCAAGGGTGCTCAGAAGAATCCTGCCCAAATTCTCATTTTCTTTCTCTTTCGTCAAACAGAATGAGAATTGGTAGAGGGGAGAAGCAGATTTTTTTTTCCTTACTAGCACTGCTTATTATTGAACTCAGAACTTAATAGTTTTGCTCAGCTCCACGTGTCAGGGTTCCCTACTCCTTCCAGTCTCAGATTTCCAGTCTCAGAAAAATCCATTTCTCTGTACCTAGGGCACTGTGACTTCGGTTAGGTGAGACAGGCACACTCCTACCTACCCTAGAAAAGCTTAAAAATAGAAAGCACTCCTGGAGAACAATTGTTCCTACTCCTTGACAAATTGCCAAAGCACTAGTAGCTTTGTTTCAGAAACTAACCCCTCCCCCCTTCCTCTCCTCTCCCAGTCCTCTTTAAAGAGGTTAACACGTGCAACCCAGCTACCATCACCAGCACATTGTCGCGCATCTCCCTGGACGGTGATGAGGATCCAAAGCTCAACACCAGCTCCGAAGGTGGCCTGGGCTTCTCCACCCTCCCTGGGAACATCCCGCCCACTTCCATCCTGGTCCAGATGCCACAAATGACACACAACGTGGTGAAAGGGCTGAAGGAGCTCAGCGACCCCCCTGCCAAGAAGGACGTTAACGTGGATGTGGCCCATGGGCCGGTCTACCTGTGCAGTGACAGCAACCTGCGGCAACTGGATTACGGTTGGCTGCACTCTCAGGAGGCTTCCCTGGAGAGCAATTACATGGTGCTTCCCCGGAGGACGGTGAGCCTTAAGCCTTTCAGCAGGGAAGAAGGCAAACTCAACATCAAGTTGGACGAACCTCCAGGCCCGCCTCAGGGCCGGCCATCCATGGAGGCCAAGGCTTACCCTAGCTTTGCCTCCATGGACCACCTCAACGTGAACTTGAACCAGCCTTATGGGACAGTCAAGCACCCGTATGGCCTTCAGTTCAAGCAACACCCCACGGTGCGGCAGATCCTGGCCTCAGAGTTGTCCGAACGAAGCCGCAGCATGCCTCGCACCGTGCCCGGTTCGGCCATGAAAGTGGGCTCCCTGGAGGTAAGCGTCACTCTGGGTCTGCCCAGGCTTCTTGGGTGTTGCATCGAAGCAAGGGCAGCTGATCTCTCTGGCCTGACCAGACCTTCAGGCTCCTGAGTGTCAACGCTGCAAATACTGTATATTCTTGCTTTGACAATATGCAGAACTGTCTGGTATTTTTATAGTTAAATCAAGCAACAGGGAAAGGGGAGGAGAATAAGGAAAGCCCGGGAAAAAGAAACCGGAAGTAAATCACATCTTCCAAGTTAATTGGAAGATGTGAACCATGACCCCAAAATAGGGGCGGGAAAAATGCCTGGAATGTATGTGCAACAGAAAAGAATCTCAGATCTAAGCATTTCCACCATGCCGTACTGACATCTCTGTAACCTTAATAAATGCTTTTAGGAAAAATATGCCTGAAAGTCCTTTTAAGTGTTTCGTTAATCAGACACATGACATCATGCTTAGATCTGAGATTCTTTTCCGTTGCACATACATTCCAGGCATTCCATGACACTGAGTTTGCTTGTGCAAGCATGAAGTTTGTAAGTGGCCGGAGTGGGGTGGGGTGGGGTAGATATTGGAGACAGTCCTTGACTCGTGATCGTAATGGAGCCTGCCCATCACAATCGTAAGTTGGGATGGTCATAACATGGATTGATTTTTATGACCCTTTTTGCAGTGGTCATTAAGCAAATGCCTGTTTGTTAAACAAAACCAGCGGTTCACCAGTAGCGTGGTTTTGCCCAAAAATCGGAAGCAAAACCATCATCAAACGCAACCACGTGACGGCTGGATGCTGCCAATGGCCAAAACTTCAGCCCAGTTGCCAAGTGGCTGAAAGTCAGTCACATGACCACAGGGGAGGTGGCCATTGGTACTTCCCATCTGGGCAGTAAGCAACTTCTAAAGGTCGCTAGGCAACCAGTTGCAAGTCAAGGATTACCTGTCACTAACCTAATGTGGCAGGATGAAAGGGCTGCAGAATCCCGAGTGGGTTATTCTTTGAGCTGTTAAATACTTCTGCATACTTGCTGAGAGGTAAGTCCAACTGAGTTTAACTCGAGTTATTTCTGCTTAGGTGCATGTTGAATGCTTGACTTTTCATCCTTGTCCTCAGTCCACAATGAGAAATTGCCCCAGAAACATTTTTACTCTGATACCATCATATTTTCCAATGGTTCTTAACTTTTTCCTGCAACTGGTGCAGGATCCAAAGTTGATAGGGGAATCTTCTTCCTGTTTCCTTCCCCAGATGTTCCATTAACTATGATTTTATCCTGACTTAAGATACTGGTGATGAAAAGGACCTTAAACTATATCGGTTGTAACAAGAAATTGTAGTTTAGAATAGTATGACAGCCATGAAACATAATGTTGGACATTGAAAAGAATGGCTTGTTTGATGGTACAGTATTGTCTCCAAAATTGTTGTCAGCACCTAGAAATACAATATCTTTATGGAAAAACTTTTCCAATCCAGACATCTCCTCCCAATGTCAGGTTTTTCATGTGCAAAGTGTTCCCATATATTTTATGTAACGTAGTATACGTACACAAGAGTTTTTCCTCATCGGCTGCATACGTTGGTTCTGAAAATGCTATAAATGCATTGGATGTGCACAGGTGACCATGATGGGGAGAGGTGGCAGTTGCAACATGGGGATCTGCATAAGAAAATTCAGGGAAAAAGTGGTGTCTGAATGTATAAAAGTTGATATTGGAGCCCAAGGGGGGGGGTGTTTGCATATGAGGTGATATGTGCACACCTTTGAAATCATCTGTCTGATTAAAATGCTTTGACTGGACAAAGCTGGACAGGTCTTCTGCAACTCAAACTTATCCTGGGACCGCTAAATTTAACTTTTATGGTTTTCTCCCCAAAAGCTCTAGAACAGGGGTGTCAAACTGCTGGCCCACGGGCCGGACGCGTCACAACAAAACCACACCCACCCCATTGCCGGCAATGGGGAAAAAGCTCCGATACGTCGCGCGATGTCACCTGACGTCACGAGTTTGACATGTCTGCTCTAGAAGAGGCGTGGTGAAGGTCCAAACTAGTGTTTTTCAAGCTTGGCTATTCTAAGTTGTGGATTTGTCAGGCATAATCTAAAGATGACAGAGAGAAAACCAAATGAATCCAGATCTTTATTTGCTTACATCTAATAGACAGAATCTTGCCAGAGTGAAGCTATTACCTCCTAATCTAATAGATATACTCCATCCTGGGAGATTCTAGGCTACCCTGAACCTTTTCCTCCTCCCACCATCCAGTTTAGAACTGGGCTGCCTCTTGTTTCCGGGTCCTCTCTGGATTGTGTTGCCTCCTCCCTGGTTAACCGCAGTCCTCTTGCCGCAATTCTCCCCCACTTCTTCTCCCATTCCAGATTCCATCACACAACCTGGACTCCCAGAATTCCCCAGACAGACTTGCTGTCTGGGGAATTCTGGAAAATTGAGGTCTACGTAGGTTAAAAGTTGCAGAAGTTGAGAAAAATCTGCTCTAAAGGCTGTCTCTTTCAATAATGCTAGCCGCATTTTATTAGAAACAGAAGGTATGACCATGAGTGGAAAGGGGGAAAAAAATCACACATTCATAGACCTCAGCCGTCCCCATGAGTTGGCCAGCCAATCTCAACTTGAAAGCTGCAATAAAGGGGAAATCTACCCAGTGGTGGGATTCAAATAGGTGAACAACCGGTTCTCTGTGTGGATGCTGCTTCCGGAAGTCCATTCTGGACCTGGGCAATAAAAAATTAGCTACCGGTTCTGCTGAACTGGTGCGAACCAGCTGGATCCCACCACTGAGTCTACCATAATTTATAATAATATAATAATAATAAAGTTGGAAGGGACCTTGGAGGTCATCTAGTCCAACCCCCTGCTCAGGCAGGAAACCCTATACCATTTCGGACAAATGGCTGTCCAGTCTCTTCTTAAAAACTTCCAGTGTTTGAGCATTCACCGCTTCTGGAGGCAGGTTGTTCCACTGGTTGATTGTTCTCACTGTCAGGAATTTTCTCCTTAGTTCTAGGTTGCTTCTCTCCTTGATTAGTTTCCATCCGTTGCTTCTTGTCCTGCCTTAAGGCGCCTTGGAGAACAGCTTGACTCCCTCTTCTTTGGGGCAGCCCCTGAGATATTGGAAGGCTGGTATCCTGTCCCCCCTCGTCCTTCTCTTTGTTAAACCAGACATACCCAATTCCAGCAACCGTTCCTTATATGCTTTAGCCTCCAGTCCCCTAATCATCTTTGTTGCTCTTCTCTGTACTCTGTATTTCAGGCAGCCTGTTCCACTGTGGAGTGCTTTCACTACCCCATTCAACTTGAATCTCCTTCCTTTTCATTTCAACCATTTGGCCTTTGTCTCCCTCTCGGTTTTGTTAGAGAAAAACCAGAGCCTTCGTGCATGTGACAGCCTATTAGCGACTTAGACACCCTCACAATATTTCCCTTTGGTCTTCCTTTTTGCAAGCTGAACGTGGCCAGCACCTTGAACCCTTCTCTGTCTGCTGGGAGTTCCAGATCAGCATGGTGACTCTCCTCTGAGCTTGCTTCAAATCCTCTGTGCCCTTTTTAAACATGGAGTGCCCAGAACTAGAGACAGGACCCCACGTATGGACTAATAGTGCAGAATTACCATAGAGCTGAATACCAGGCCCCCAAGAATCAAGAAAAAGACATGGAATTTTATTTTCTCGCCATTTTGAACCAGGAACTTATAATATAAACCTGAAGTAGGTCTACTACTTCTTCTACTGATTTACAGTTGAGCGTGAAGTATCAGCCATTATTCTTGAGTCTTCCTTGGAGCTTACCTGCCTCCCTCTTGGGCCCAAGGACCACGAAAGACACATGGAATTACATCTGAGCATTTTCCTTGATTGTTCCTCCCCTGCAGACAGAAACCTTGCCACGCTGAAACAACTACAGGTAGTCCTCAACTTACAACAGTATATTTAGCGACCGTTCAAACTTACAACGGCGCTGAAAAAGTGACTTATGACCGTTTTTCACACTTACGACCATTGCAGCGTCCCCAGGGTCACGTGATCAAAATCCAGACATTTGGCGACTGACTCGTATTTATGACGGTTGCAGTGTCCCAGACGTGACCACTTTTTGCCACCTTCTGACAAGCAGGAAGCCAGTTTCGCTTAACAACCGTGTTACTAACTTAACAACGGCAGTGATTCATTTAACCACTAGGTCAAGAACTGTCATAAAATGGGGCAAAATTCACTTAACTTAACTGTCTCGCTTAGCAACAAAACGTTTGGGTTCAATTGCGGTCATAAATTGAGGACTGCCTGTATTTGCATCACCACAAATATATACTCTGGGAATAATTAGGGAAGAACCTTTAAAACTCTCTTCTTCCTGACCAAACTTTCTATGTGTTGCTGCCTCTGTGCCCTTTGGAACGCAGCCCCTTCCCTCCCGGGAATCCAGACTTCATTCCATCACATTAGTGCCTCTCAAGATTGCCTACTTTTTCAACTTCTGCATTCAATCTGATTGGACAACCTTCCCCGGAGTTAAAGTGGATTGTTCAACCAGTTTGAGCCTGTGCCATGACTGTGTCTGTTTTCCCTGCAGATACTGTTGCCTGCAAGAAGTGGTCTGACTTTGAATTCAAGGGCAGGCATGGGGTGCCTCTGCTGTGACAAGCAGAGCTTGTTCAAGAAGCATTAAAGCAGTCCTTTGCCCATCTATTTCAGAATGTTTTTTTCCTGTATCCTGAGACCACACAGGTCCCTAACGTTATTTAATCTGCATTTAATCCCCCATTTTTTTCCTTCGGGTGTTTACTGAATGTGCTGTGAGCTAAGGGTTCCCTTGCGCCCTCCCCTTTGTGGAAGAGTTTCTATGCTTGGCAGTGCCATGGAAGCCACAGCTTTTGTATTTTCATCCTCAAATTTGAGTTTTTTTGGTTGTTGGGGTTTGTTTGTTTGTTTGTTTGTTTGAGGAGTAAAAGAAGTTGCTTCAGACAAACGTGGTTGTAGGGATGACCTTTGGGGGGTGGGCAGCTCAAAAACAGCAGATTCGGTATGGTTCCAGAGGAAGGAAGGAAGGAAAGTGAATTTTTGGCAATGTGGAAGCGGGGGGGGGGGGGAGAGAAGAAGACCAAAATTGAAATATGGCAATGGGGCTGATCTTCAAGTTGGCAGTGGAACCAAGATTGACAGAGAAGGAGAAGAAAGGGCCTGCCCTCTGGATTCTATTCTCAGAATAGAATCTTCAGGAAAGGGTCAGATTAATTTATTATCTCCTCCAGCATTACGTAGAAGACCCCAAAAATGGGAGAAATGCGCTGAAATGCAATCAACTCCCTATCTCTGAGGTCAAATGTTAAGGCTCAACTTCTTCCCTTCCATTTGCTTTCCCAATGTTGGGGTACCAACCACGAAAGAACTCGCCCAAGTGATACGAGCCCCTCAGATCTGGAGGCCATTGAAAAATGGCCAGCTAAGAGCCTGTTAGAAGATGCAGCTAGAATAGTAGATTTTCTTAGAGCAAACAGCTGTGGTTAACCCATATTCTATAGCCACAGACAGTTGGCCAAAGGAAATGGCCACCAAACTGCATTAGGGTTGACGCTGTTCTTTGCTCCTGTAATGCTTTGGAGATAACTTTCTCCTCCTGCTTCTCTTCACACCTTTCCCCACACTTCCATCTCTCTGCGTTCTTTTGGGTGCCTTCCGACCACTTGCTCTCCAAAACTCCATCTAAGAACTAGACAAAGTAATAAAGGCTTTTCTTTTTTTCCCTCCTCCCCCTTTGTGGTATGCTTACTTCATGCCTCCCTCCCCAGAGGAAAAGACTACGGTACTCTGACCTGGATTTTGAGGTGAGTGCCCATCTGGGGTATAATTAAGTGACACCTTTTGTGATATCAGAAATTCCAGTTGTGCACGGTCTAACTGCTGGCCAGACAGTTGTCTAGATTCTGTAATGATATCCCTGGGATGGGGAGTGTCCAGTTGAGTTTGTTCTGATGAATTTGGGGGGCTCTGTCTTTAAACCCCTAGTGTGGAGGATGGGCTGGAGTGGTAGGTGCCCAGAATTTGTGGCACAGTGGTTAGGATGCAGTATTGCAGGCTAACTCTGCCCACAGTCTGGAGATTCATCCTAATGAGCTCGAGGTTAAGTCAGCCTTCTATCCTTCCTGAGGTCAGTAAAATGAGGACCCTGATTGTTGTGAACAATATGCTGACACTATAAACCACTCAGAGAGTGCTGTAAAGCACCATGGAGCGGTATATATATCTAAGTGCTATTGCTATTGGGGAAAAAAAATCTACTCCTATCTAAGATTGCGTTATCTCTTGGACAACCATGAGTCTGTGACAATGACAATGATGCTTTCATGGGTCAACCATCACACAGAGAAGTTAGGCATCTCTTAACTTTCCTTCTCCAGTAGGGAAGGGCATCAATTAAGACCATCAGTCCTGGCGTTTTAGGGAATTTGATGGGTTCTGGGATATTCTGGAAGAATTTCCAGAATCAGTGATCTTTTGTGAACCTCTATTCATTTATGGAATGGAAACAGAATAAGTCACCGATGGCAATTATCATTAAGTCATCTCTCTGGGACAATAAAGTTGAACATCTGCCCTTTTTCAGGAAACCACTAGACCAGGGGTAGGCAACCTTGGCTCTTTTAGGACTCGTGGACTTCAACTCCCAGAATTCCTAAGCCAGCCATGCTGAGGGGAAAGAGAGAGGTTTCCAAGCTGAGCCATGCTGGCTCAGGAATTCTGGGAGTTGAAGTCCACGAGTCATAAAGCGCCCTAGGCCTAGGCCAGAGGTAGGCAACCTTGGTTCTTTTATGACTCGTGGACTTCAACTCCCAGAATTCCTCATCCAGCATGGCTCAGCTTGGAAACCTCTCCCTTTCCCCTCAGCACGGCTGGCTCAGGAATTCTGGGAGTTGAAGTCCACGAGTCCTAAAAGAGCCAAGGTTGCCTACCCCTGCACTAGACTGCAGATACAGTAGCAAAGGTTGCACAGAAAGCTTCCTGTACAATCTCCACTGCGTCCTTAAGCAGCTGTCCAGCAGGGCACTTTAAAGTGATTAAGGGTTTGTTGTCATCTGTTTTGGAAAACTTCATGTTAGGACCTTCAGGGATCTGCTGTGACAGATTTGTGAGGCATTTAGAGTGTAAAATCAATTGTCTTTATATTATCATGAACTCTGGATTTCATGCAATACATATTAAGATGTTCTGGTCATACCTGGCCAGCCTCTATGAGATTCACTTTACATTTAACAAACCTCAAGGAGACTCAAGTAAGAGGAACCATATGCCCTCCTAAATCCTGCCCATTATTTGAGCTACCCAAAGGGAGATAACTAGGTAGATCCAGAAAGTGATGAAGAAATCTTGGTGTGATGGAATAAAGGAGACAAAAGAACCATTTCTGAAGAAGCTATTCCTAGATCCACAATATTTTGTCCATAAATACTTAGGCATAAATAACCTTTTTTTTAAAATCAAGGAGAGGTTATCTATGTTACTGCAGACATTCTTAGAGGACACTGATTATTTCAAAACCTTTTGACCTAGTTTGAAGAGAGAATCATCAGCCATGATAGATGACCTCCTGTGGTAGAGAGACAGAAGGACTCTCCTAGTTGATCTTTCCGTGGCTTTCGATAATATCAATTAATATCCTCCTGGAACATTTCTGTGAGTTGGGGTTGTGTCCTTAGATCCCAGTGGTTCCAGTAGGATTTCAGGGAAGATTTCAAAGATACTGTCTTATCTATGCTGAGAGATGTCCACAATGGTACTTACTATTTGTACAAAGCCATCAGATGTAGTCATCAATTCAGGGATGAAGTATCATCAATATGCTGATATATGTTGATACCTTCAGAAATTGATAGTGCTGCCTAACTCACAGGGCTCAAAGTGGTTTGCAATACAACCAAGAAAACTATATTTTAAAAAAACAACTCTAGTTCTAAGGCAATTGTGAAATCCATTAGCAGTATTAGCTGCACATTCCTGTGCCTCTGAAACAATTCAGTCTGAAAACTGAATCCAGATAGGATGGAAATCAAGGCTGTGGGGAGAATCCAAAAATTAGGAAGTTTGCTTCAACTAATGGGGAGGTGGTCCTTCCTGAAAGAGCAGGTATGTTATTTGAGGGTGATCCTAAATTATCACTGTCATTGGAACCCAAAGAAATTTATCATGCATCGACTAAGCTACTCCATGTCTTGGTGTGTAGCTACCAAGACAGGCTACAGGTCTTAATCTTGATGTACAAATGATCGGGACACCTAACAGATTGCTTTGATGGCTAAGATCAACTGGGAAAGTCCTCCACTGGATGACAAGAACCACAAGCCTCCTCTGAAAGGTTCTCTCCCCCCCCCAGCCCTCAAATTCCAAAATTCCTGCTCAGTAAGGAATGCAACTGTAATATCCCCAACGGATGGCCCTCAAGAGATTGTATCTGTTAGGCACTTTTTAAGAGTCTGCTTCTTCCTTGAGACATTCCTGTTATGTGATTGTTATGATTTCATTTTTGTCCTGTCCTTTCTTCACTTTTTAAATTGAATAGCTTGTAACGTTTCTATCTGTTTTTGGTTTTGGTTTTTTTGTTTTGTATTTGAAGTTATTGCAAACTAATTTAAGGTCTGTAACTGTGGGTAGCGCTCAAATGAAAATAATGGAAACCCTTCTTGGCCAGTGATCTTCCAAAATTTCAGGAATTAATGGGGGGGGGAGGGTTTTACAAATACCTACGTATTCTCACCAATTTACTAATCCCAGAACTCTGGGGGGGAGGGGGATTGCAATCAGTGCAATTGGCATAAAGGTGTTACAGACTTGGAGTGCAGAATACCCAGGACTCTGCTGTCAGCCTGCTTTTGGCTCAATGTCAGTTGGTTAAGAACAGGAATAGGTGAATTTGTCAAGTTTAATTTTGCTCAGATTCTCATTTCCAGATCAGCGGGGGGGGGGGCAGGGGGGAGCAGAAGGGAAGAGAAGTTAGGCCTCTATTTTACAGGGGCCTCTTTCCTAATGTAGAAATCAGTATGTAGTGCCTTTCCTTTCCAAATGAGTTCCCTTCCTATAATACATTTCAGTTTTTTTGGTTTTTTTTTTTGCCAGCATAAGCATTTTGGGCTCATTTTCCACAAATACCTGCATTTCCTACCATCTGGGTTAGGAAACAGCTTTGCAAAATTCAGGAAAAAAAACCATGAATATTAAAAGATGGCTGCCTTATAGTTTGTGTCTTGGTTCTGGAAATAAGCATTCAGGAAATCTGGAATAAATGCAAACTAAACCCATTTTTCTACAAGCCAGGAAAAGAGCAGCATCGTTCACCTTCAGCTCAGGGCTGAATGTTATTTATTTTCTCAAACCACACCCGCCTTCTTTCTTCCTCTCTCCCGCTTCCCTTCTTTGCAGTTGCATTGAGCTGTGGCAAAACACATTTCTGGATTGATGCAGGACAGAAGGAGCTCTTTGTCTCAACCCCCATTAGCAAAACTACAAATTATAACTCAACCAAAATGCAAAACCTTCAAAACCAGGGACAGCAAGGGTGGAGTTGATGCCCAGATACATTCCCCAGTAATCAAGACAATGACTAAGACATCCTTGCCCTGAATACTTCCTAATCTAGCCTGTCCTTGAATGTCTCCAGGAATCAGGCATGCCTTTGCGTTGTTCCAGGCTGAAAGTAGCATCTCAACTCAACTGGACAAAGTAAAATGTCCGTGCGTGCAAATTCTATGCATCCTTCTTACAATTCCAGGTTGCTAATGACAAAATCGGGGCCCGAGAACCAAGAACAACATGTGAAGTTGTTTTAGAATAGTTTCCTGTTCTTTACCTATAGACAGAATCTTGCTGGACATAGCTCAACTATGCGTAACTGCAAATATATTCTGGGAACTGCTAAGGTGGATCTGTTTTAACCCTCTCCCTGCCCGCCAAAGTTTCCAAGTTCCTCTGCCTCTTCGCCCTGTGGAGAGCAGCCCCTCCCTTCTGGGAATCCAGGCTACATTCCACCACAATGCATCTCATAATGAAGCAGAGTATGGCAGTGACCCTTTCATACTTGCACGGGGACTAACCGTTTGGAAGACTAAAATGAGATGGGTTAGAAGTCAAAGGATAGCAAGAAATTATTCTCCCTCTGCTTGTTGGGTGTTGCCACCTTCTAGGCGTTTTGATCCATGTTGTAGGTTTCATTTTGTTCCTCACTGCTGCTTTCCACATCTTATGTTATGATATGTTACAGTCTGCTGATCATTATGCTTTATGATGGGTGTTATTGTTGGCCGTGTTCTGGAAGATCTGTTTATTGATTGGTTTGTTTGCTTGTTATATTTGTGTGCTCCTGAATCCTTTCAGACCCCCTTCAGTTTACAACAAAAAGCATACAGTACAATAAAACATCCATGGTAAAGAATGCTCGCTAAACTTGATACTAATAGAAAATACAATATTACAAAAGTGAAATAAACCGAATGATACCAACCGCGGGTACACAATTCCCAAAGTACAGGTAGTCTTCAACTTACGACCACAATTGAACCCAAAATTTCTGTTACTAAGCAAGACATTTGTTAAGTGAATTTTGCCCCATTTTACGACCTGTTGCCCCATTGACTTTGCTTGTCAGAGGGTCGCAAAATGGAACCACATGACTCTGGCACACGGCAACCGTCATCAACATGAGTCAGTTGTCAAGCATTTGAATTTTGATCATGTGACCTTGGGGATGCTGTAATGGTCCTAAGTGTGAAAAATGGTCACAACTCACTTTTTTCAGTCCCGTTGTTGCTTCAAACGGTCACTAAACAGTTGTAAGTCAAGGACTACCTGTATGATGGAGATCAATCCCAAAGTCCCTTTCTAAAAATCTAGTTTTCCAGCTTCTGGAGGATTATTCTCAAGTTTAAGTTCCTGGTTTCAGCCCATCACCTCATGAAATGGCATGGATCCCTTTGAATGGCTTGAACAGATATATATTTTTTATCTCTTAAAAGCACTGCTGCCCCAATCTCGTAGGAGAAGATTTCTGAGTGGTTTATAGACAAGTGTAAGGGTTTTTTTTTTTTTAATAAAAAAAGGAAAAAAATCCCTCTCTAACTTTCAGGTTTACAATCTGAAAAAGGCATTGCAGAGGAGAAAAAATTTGATGGGGAGGGGAGAGAAGAACAAGAACACGCTGAGGCCAAACTTTGATTTTTACAACTGCCAGTTGTAATGGACCTGAAAACTATTCTTCTCCTCATCATCACCACAAAAGAAGATAAAAAGAGTTCAAGGAGAAGAAAACCCAAACCTTTGGTCTTTCATCTCAGGCAGTATAACAGCCTAGTCTGATAGAGGAAGCCTAGCCTGATCGAAACGTTGGAAGAAAGGGGAAGAAATACATACAAGACCTGTTTGTCTTCACATCCCAGTCTTCTCACTAGTCAGAAGCTTTGTGCAGGGGTAGTCAACCTTGGCTCTTTTATGACTCGTGGACTTCAATTCCCAGAATTCCTGAGCCAGCTTAGCTGGCTCAGGAATTCTGGGAGTTGAAGTCCATGAGTCATAAAAGAGCCAAGGTTGACTACCCCTGCTTTAGAGATTCAGATCTCATTTTGCCAAAATCTTAGGAAGCTCAAAACGTTGCAGTGTCCCAGGGGATGATCTCTTTCTCAAATTCTCTGCAGACTGTTTCTGGCTTCTCCCAAGATACTCTCAGAGCCAGTCAATTGTGTATTTTAATTTTTTTTTAAAAATCCCTTTGGAAAACTAGGCAGTCCTGTTTTGCTTCCTAGTTACTATCCAATTATCTTCTCCTTGTGCAACCTTACTATTGGGAATTCACCACACCATAGTCCTGTAAAGTTGTCCTGGGTTGGTTACTCCCAGAAATAATAAGCAAAGGCTGCCATAATCCATGGGGGCTCTTCAACCCATCTGCAATCTACTAGCAAAAAAACCTCATCTCCAGCCAACAGCTGGTAAGAGGAAAACACTCTCCATCCCCATTCCAGATGTTGTTTGTCTTAAAAAATAAAATAAAAAAAGCTTGAGATGTGAGAACATGTAGAGTAAGGGAAAGCCGTGAATGAACTGAATGGTAGGAAAGGAAGGGAAAGGATTAAGATTAAAATTAAAATTAAAATCGGTGCACTGATGAGGTTACCTAGTTTGATCAGGAAACCTCTACAAGAAAACCACCAAGCTCAGAGAGCACCAAGGACCCCCACAGTTGAACCCTGAGCTGCAAATATACTCTTCTGTCGGTACTTTGAAGTTGTTTGCTCACCATAAGTGCCCATGCCCATTTTTCATAGGCATCCTACAGCAGAGAACATGTAAGCATACTATGGGAACTGTCTTGATACCCTCTTGAAGCTTAGTTCAGCCATCACCTTTCAGGGAAAGCTTTGATTGAGCATCTTGCATAACATTTGGAGCCTCCCCTTGCTTAGAGAAGTGATGGCGGAGCTAAGCTTCAAGAGGGGATCAAGAAAGCCCCCATGCTTGATTCCTCTTTCATTGTAGCCACACATTTTGGGTGAGAAGATGTGGGGGGAATAGGGCTCTTCTAGCCAAACAGTGACCTCTCTTTTCTCTTCTTTCCCTCCCTCCTCTCCTCCTGGGGGTTATTGCTGTGAACATTTGCAGAAAGTTATGCACACAAAGAAACGCCATTCAGAACTCTACCACGAGTTGAATCAGAAATTCCACACGTTGGATCGGTATCGTGCTCCGGCCACTAACGCCTCAAAGGTAAGGATGGGAAGACAGGAAGAAAAGGCAGGTCCTCAGTGAGGTGAGGAAGGTGTCTCAAGAGAGCTTAGATGCAGGTTTGACACCTTTGAAAGAAAGTCTAGGAAGGGAGCACTTCCGCTGACTGAGCCCAACCCTCGGCTCAGAGCAGGACTCCAGATGAGAGCATTTCTGGAGCCCACAATGCAAGAAGACACTAGATGCTTAGTCACTATTAAGACAAGAGAAACATGGCTGGCTAGCCTCTTCTTGAACCCAACCAAGGTACGAAACTCATCATGTTCCCAGTGTAGGTAGTCCTTGACATAGGACGACAATTGAGACCAGGATTTCCATTGTTAAGCAAGGCAGATGTTAAATGAGTTGAGTCATGCCCAATTTTAATGACCTTTTTTTGGCCAGGGTTATTAAGCAAATCCCTGCTAATTTAAGTGAATCCAGCTTCCCCCGTTGACTTTGCTGGTTGGAAGCTGTTTGGAAAGTTACAAATGATGATCACATGGCCCTGGGATGCCGCAACCATCATAAATGCATGCTGGTTGTCAAGCATCCAGATTTTGGTCATGCGATCACGGGGATGCTGCAAGGATTGTAAGTGTGAGGACTAGTTGCAAGTCACTGTTGCCATTGTAACTTTGAATGGCTGTATGCTGAGGGTACAGCATAATACTTGTAATACCTTTATGTGTAGACCTCAAGGTGGAGGAAATAATGCAATTGATGCCAAGCATTCAGTTTAAAGGGTTGATTGCCATTGTAGCTTCTAAGCTCCTTACACATAACAAATGCACACCACCAAAAATCCCCAGATCCTTTTATATCTATTAATCATGATGAAGAATCATTGCCAGGATAGCACCTCCATGTTGAAAGGTTCCCAGTCTCTGGATCAATAGTATTCAACTTTAGCAACTAAGACTTTGTGCTTCCTGGGGAATTTGGGGAATTGAAGTCCACAAGTTGTAAATTTGCCAAGGTTAGACACCCCGATCTAGATATTCCCTTGTGATGAAGAACTGCAACTGACCCAACTCAGATATTTGTATGAAGTCTCAAAGACCTCTCCATATCTTGTGAGTCCTTCTACTAATGCTCTTCTCTCAGCCCAAGCATCTAGAATTTAGTTTGTTAAAGAATGATTTTAAGATGTGTTTAATCCAAATATAGTTCTTTGAAGTGTCTTGGATATTTCAAGGATGTATATAGTAAGGGCTGGATTTCAGCATCAATATGCTGAGAGTGTAAAATAAAAGAAGGGAAAGATGGTTTAGATTTGCTCCAGAATGGTTTTTGATTCAATAACAGTTAAGTATGCTAATAAAGGAAAAGAAATAAGGTTTGCTAATGTGATATTGAATTATATATCAAATATTACAGTTTATTGATGTATGAACAACTTGGGATTTACCGGACTTGGGCTATAACTAAAAATTAGTTAACTTTGATGGAAAACTCCACCTGATTTTAAAACTTGGATTGACGAATTGCGTTCAGTCTACCACTACGTTCTGGTCACTACAATGTAAAAAAGATGTTGAAACTATAGAAAGATTGCCGAGAAGAGTAACAAAATTGATAGGTGGTTGCAAGTCTAAACCATACGATGAACAGTTAAGGCAGTGGTTCTCAACCTGTGGGTCGGGACCCCATTTGGGGTCGATCGACCATTTCATGGGGGTCGCCAAGCAAGGCTGTC